ATCTTCATGCAACCTCCAGTTTTTTGTCATCATGCTCCTTCAGAAATAGGCACATCTCCTAGAGCACCTGTCCTGCCTGCAGCTCCAGGGCCTCCCGCTATACTCACACAGCAGTGATCTATATCCTTATTACCCAGCACAGAAATGTGGCTGTCCCAGGCTGAGGGAGATGCCCAGTTGTGTATACCTCAGAGCAGCAAAGTTTTCAAACTAGGTAAGCCTCAGGTATTATCCTCTTCCAGAGAGTATTATGAAGTCACCTGGTTCGGAAAACCCAAAAGCAGAGCTATTATTCCAGTCGAAGCATTAAGGGTGCAGCTCCCACCCCTGGATGTCAGCCCCTGTCAGGCTGGAGGCACAATGAAAGAGTTCGAGGCTCCTGCCCCAGAGGAGTCTGGAATCCCAGACCACTTTAAGTGCCAAAAGGACACCTTCATCAACCGAGCTGTCTCAGACCTCTAACTCCCAAGGCCCCCACTCCTCAACTGGCTCACACTATTCACTGGCATCCCGTGCTTCTCTCCAATTGTTTCTTTGGACAAAGAGCAAATGTCTAACCTTCAGAGCCTGCCTGCACCTGCCAGTCAATCAGGATGCAGACAATGCCTTATCTCTCTCTAAACTTAGGAAGAGATACCCAAACATTTCAGGGGAAGAGCCTTCTACAAACTGGAGAGCAAAGACCTGGAAAAGGGGTTTGTGGAGAAAATTATGGATCCTGTCAGAAGGAATTCAGGCACAGTGGGAATTGTTACTAAGAATCCAACACTCTGGATCCAGAGAGGTAGTATAGCTGGTATGGTGCTGCCTTGCATGTGGCCAACCCGAATTCAACCCTGGCATCCCAAACAGTCCCCTGGGTCTTGCCAGGAATGATTCTTGAGTACAGAGCCAGAGTAACCACCGAGCATTGCCAGGTGTAACCCCCAAAGCTAAAAAAAAAAGAACCTACCATCCATCTCCTTATCATCCAGGCAGGAGATGCAGCAGACAGAGAACTTACTTTACATGTGGTCAACTCAGGATTGCCGCCACCACATAAGGTCCTTCCAGCCCTACCAGGAGTGATACCTGAGCATAGGGCCAGGAGTAAGACCTGAATACCACTGGATATAGACCCAAACCAAATAAAAACAAACAAGTCTAAAAAAAGTCTACATTCTCAGTGATTGTACCCTTTCATCTACCTCACCAATTACTATAGACACATGGGCCAAGCTCTGAGTTCAGGGACCTTTCCATACAACCCCTCTCTCCCCCACCTCTGACAAGATCTCCAGATCGGGCCCTCAGTCTTGGTCTGCTGAGTACGCCCCAAAGCCTGCTGTAGACTCCCATGCAAGACTGGTTCCACCCTGTGGAGAATTTTGGGACCTTTTACTATTACCTGTGGATCCCATTTCCTCTGTGAACTTGCAATTTCAAAGAAACTCAGTTCTGTTCTAGAGTTTCTAGGGGTTCAGGAAGCACTTTCTGGGACTCTGGTAGAGTAGCCTGACTGGCCAAGCTGTTTCCGAACAGCTGTACAGTGGGATCCTCTCCACACACACACTGTCCCAGTGCGCTCCACCTAGGTCCCCCAAGGGTTTCCATGCAGAAAGGCGGAGTTCCTGACCCTGCGGCTCCATCTGCCAGGCTATCAAGCTAGTGGGGCAAGGCTGGTGGGAGAACCAAGGGCTGCCACACAGAACAATAGGTTGGGATACAATTGTTCTTTCAGAACCACCCACGTAGCTTTCCCTTGGCTCCTCCCAGCGACCCTTGCTGTCCCATGAGACGAGTCCTTCCCCAGGATCAGGCACGTGTGAAAGTGCTAGGAGAGTAGCGTTGCTCTAGAGGCCCTGGCCCTGGCCCTCACCTCAGCCCCTGGGGAGGCAGATGAGCTTGCCAAGACCTCCCTTCCCTCTTTCTGCTGCATGGTTACTGGTCTTGTTCACTCCCTCCTGAAACAGAAAGCAATGGTCACTGTCATCCCATCTGAGGCACCACAAACCTAGCCTCTGATCCAGACACACACACACACACACACACACACACACACACACACGGCAGCTGTCAGCGCTGGAAGAGTCATATGAGCCCAGAACTGTTAGCAGCCTCCCCTCTCTGGTTCTGGGCGGTAGGGAAGAGAACACATGTGGGAGGAAGCCTAGGGTTTTCTCCTTTGTTTCCTGTACTGAGAGAAGCACAGGACCACTTTCCTGTCCACTGCAGACAGAGATGAACAAAGAGAGTCCTTTCCTCTTCTTTCACTTAATTCTGTTTCCCAGGACAAAAGACCAGGCTAAAAACACAAGGGCAGAGGTGACCTCTTGCCCCAATATCCAGCAGATCACTTTGGTCTTGCCCCCACTATGGGGCACCTTTCCTACTGTCTCAGCAGGTGGCCAAGCCCACAGAAAGCCCAAGCCCAAACGTCAGTCCTAGAAAAACCTCTCTACGCTTCCTGGTACCCCTGGTTTTTTCACCCCAGGAAGGAAAGAACATGGTACTCCCCCCACTTCAGCCCCCACCTCAGAGACTTGAGCCTGGAGCACAGCTGACAGGCTCCCATGGGAGGAGGAGGAGGGAGGAAGGGCTTTCATCAAAGAGGTGACGTCAAAACCAGGCAACTTGTGAAGCTGTCAGGGGCCGGGAAATTTGGACAAAGGTGTCTAAAAATAAACCCCTGAAGCCAGGAAAAGGCTTTAGTGGCTGAGTTGCTCGCCACCACACCACATGCCATGCGATCTGTTCTGAGGACTAGAACCCAGAAAGTCTCTTCCCAAAGGGTGCTCCTCCAGATGGGCTCTCAGGCTGAGGGTGGCACAGACAGGAAAAGAGACACCACATGCCAGCCCCTCCCTGGGTGACATGGGCGAGGCCCCATCAGGAGATTCTCTGAGCAGGGCCAGGACCCATCAGGATATGCTCTGTGAAGGGCCATCCCTGCTATTTTTTTTTTGTTTGGTTTGGTTTGGTATTGGGGGGCCATACCTGACTTTCCTCATGACTCAATTCTTGCTCTTCATTCAGGGATCACTCCTGAAGGGCATGGAGGACTATATGTGGTGCCAAGGATTGGACCTGGGTCAACTGCGTGTAAGGTAAGTGCACTACCCACTGTGCTATCTTTTTGGTCCCTTGGTTTGTTTTGAGGGAAATCCCTGCTCTTGCCTTCTGCTGGCCATCCCATCTTGGCCCCTGGCCTCCAGTACAACCCCCTCCTCAGGGAAGCAATACCTCCACAGCACCCATCTGAGAAGGAAATTCTCCTCTATCCTTTCTGTGCTTTGCCCATACAAAAATTATCCCAGTTTCTTCTCTTCTGGTCTACTAAGACCACAATTGGTAACCCAGGCTTGCTCTGTTCCTCCTCAGCCATAACAACGGAGTCTGACACCTCCTCAAGCAGATTTGTCTGAGTGCTACTTCTATCATCAAGGGCGTTCCTTTCCCAAGCTGCTCTGGAGTAAAAAAGTCACAAGGTTCCCTCGACTCTGCCAAGTTCTCGTTCCTGCTAACTTTCTTCTTGTTTCCTGATACCAGATACACCGATCATGCCTCTGTTCAGTCTAAGCTGCCAAAGGACAATATAGTCTTCCAAAGACTGCCACTAGGCTTGTGTCCCCAGATATCTCAGAACTCCAGTCTACATATCACTGCTGACAGCCCCAGTTGGCTGCCTCTCAGCCATTTCAGACAGTGAATGCCATGTCAAAACCAGGCTCTCCCTTAGCTTTCCACAGATCACTGAAAAGCACCACCACAAACCCACTGATGGTGACTAGAGGGGACCAGTTCCCCTCACCATGCCTAAATTCCTATTTTCTCTCTCCTCACATCCACCTTCTACCTCTGAATCAGATGCAAAACTCCTTTCACTGTCCCACCCCAAGTCATTCCACCTCCATTCATACTGGGATTTCTGACTACCTGCTAACCACCTCAACCTGGCCCTCTTGGTCTCCACCCCAACCCATCCTGCCCAAGGAGGGGACTGCTCTTCTTGTGCAGATGTGGCTCAGATCCAGTTGCTTTCCTGGCTAGAACACATCAGTGATTTGCCACTGCCTTTAGATCAGACTCTTGCTCTCACCTTACTCTTCCCTAAACCTTTTACCCCTTCACCAAGGACACTTTTAAGATTCTGCCCAAAGGACTAGCTCCCCCAAAAGGCTGTCCCTGACTATATTGACCAGCTGGTCACACTCCAATCTTTTCTAGCAAAGAGCTCATATCGTCTGATATAAAACCCATCTCCAGCGCTTCATGATCAATGCCAATTTCATGCACCAACATCTCACATCATAGCCAGCATAATACCTGGCACACAGACATTCAACACGTACAAGCTGAACAGATAAATAAAAATAAGTACTACCAAGTCCTAACAGGGTTATTTCCCTATCACCCAGATTCAATATTGTTTTAGAAGAGAAAGGTATGCAATGGGGGCACATCTGAAAAAATATAAGCAATCACAGAGACTCACGTCAGTTCTCCTAGTAGCTGGCTCTCTTCTTCCAGACCAACTTCTCTGCCAATGGTGCCAATGGCCAGGTCAGAAATAGGAAGAGACAGGATCTACCCCGATTCCCTGGAACTGAGCTCAAGGAACCAGTCCATATGTTTACGCAGAGGCCAGGCCAGGGACAACATAAGGATCATGGGGCCTGGAAGCCTGAGGGCCACAGTCAGTTGGCCTCTAGTGTAGTGAGGAGGGGTGGGTTGGTCCCATCCCTCTGCATAGGGTACTGAGCACGAGGATGTGTTTGGTCCAAGCCAGAGTCAAACTGACAGGGTAAGGTCTCTGAACAAGCTCACCCTGCTCCTGGGAGACATTCTGGCACCCACAAGGCTCCAGACACTTGGAAGAAATGGCAGCAGCTTCTGTCCATCATCCAAGCTCCAAAGGAAGGCTCCTGGAGTATGTCCACCCCAAACCACCCTCTTTCTCCCAGCCAAGGCAATCTTCCCTGGCTGCCTCCCAGCCCACATATACTCAATCTGTGTCTCACCTTGATATAGGTGTCGAGAGCAGGATGGACCCGGCGGGCTGCCAACCAGATGGACAGGGTGGTGGTGTAGGGGAAAGTAGCTGTCACCACGTGGCTGGGTGCTGGGAAGGAGAACACCTTGAAGCCATATTTCTGGTAGAGCTGGATGAGCTCTGGGGAGGGTGACTCCTCCCCTTCACTCAGAATGCTGCCCACCGCACAGCGGCACTTCTCTGGGGGCACCTGGGGAAGCAGAGAGTAGGGTGTTAGGGCTGGGAAAAGGAAGAAGGCCCTGCAACCTCCTGGACTCCAGGCCAGCTCAGGTTCAGCTCTAGCTGGCCATGCAGACCTAGATACCAGGACAGAGCTAAAGACTCTCTCGGGAGACATTCTTGCATCCACACTCCTGGCCTCTGGTTCCTTACTAAAGGACAGACCTGTAATCCCTGAGCACAGTGCGAGGAAGAAGCCATCCTTTCATGCTGTAGTGGCAGGACTATGGGAAGCAATGGTTAGGAAGAGGGATCGTGCTGAATTCATGGCTATTGATGAACTAGTGTGAGGGATCTTCTTCCTGCCTTCAGGTAGGGTCCAACTACCATCTTTCCAACAACCCTTGCCCCATCTTGGGGCCTGCCCCACTTTCCTAGCCCCTCCCTGGCTCAATCCGAGACTGAGTCTCCTCTGAGTTTCTCTGGGTCTTAGTACCTGCATTTCAGTGTACTCTATTTCCCTCCTCAGCTCTTCTCCCTCCCCTGGGTCCTCAAACCCCAGCCAAGTGACAGGCCTATATAAGTCCTGACAATTCCTAGGTCTGACTCCAGGCCTGTGAGGCCAGGGCTCCATATTTCTCCTGCCTCAAAGCACCCCCAGTTGGTCTTACCTCCAATGTGCCCTTCTGGGTATCTGTTCCTAATTCTCAATTCTGAGTTTTCCTTGATCTGAAAGGCCCCTTTCTCCTGAGATCCAGGGCCCACTCACCCCCAAATTTAAGTTCCCTCTACCCCACTGGCTCCTCTCCTTCTTCAGTCTACAGTGCCAGAACCAGGACATCATTTCAGCTGTTCTGTTCTTGTCTCTCTTCTCCCGTTCTGGACTTCTTAAGCCCTGCCCACAACCCCTGAGAGTGGTCTCCACCTGAATCCTCACTTTGCCTGAGACTTGGACATCACCTTAGACTCTCATCTCTAGGCAGTGGTACAAGTCACCCCCAACTCTCTTCTACTCTGATCCCCTTGCACCTCAGGGCTTTGTGATATGATGATAAATATGATGCATTCACCACTACAGTGGTTGGGAATATCACCTCTGGGGGTCAATTCTGAGTCACTCCAGGAGCAATCCCTGAGTAATACAGCATGAGGAGTAAGCCTAGAAGACAACTGGACGTGCGCCCTCCCTCCCCCCCACAACCTCCCCCACCAAAAAAGGGCATATTAAGTAAGATATTTTGGGACCTGAAACATGGTTCAGATAATAGATAACATGCATTGCCATGCTCAAGCAGTGCTGGATGATCCTCGAGCAACACCCAGCCAACTGTGGCCAGAAATGCACCTTTCCACCAGTTAAATACATTCAAAATGAGGTACTTCACAAGGGCTCAGCCTGGCCAGCACTCTGAAAATGCCTGTAACTTGTCAGTTACTAGCAGCTATGACTCAGGCCAAACAAACAGCCTAGAATGTTTAGACACCAAACAACTAAATACGCTGCTCTTCCCTGACCACCCCACTGGCTCAAACACCCTCTTGGGGAAGCCTTCCGGGCTAACTTCACAACATTACACCTCTTTTTGGCTTCCAATTCATCTCTGAACACAACCCAACACTTTGCTCTGAACGTTTCCCCACCTCAAATCTCCCTCACAGCAGTCATTTTCTCTGCCTAAGATGTGACTCCTCCAGGGAGACTGTGAAGGGCATTCCTGCAGTACCAACTCTTGTCCACAGATGGTGCAATTGCCTCATTTACGCCTCAAGATTAGCCAAAGGCAAAAGGGCAGGGGATTCTGTCAGGCCCAGCCCAGTATACACCCACCTCCTTCTCCCCAACCCCTCACCCTCAAGCCCTCTCCCCACAAGGAAGGGACTGCTTCAAAGCTTGTCTTTCTTACTAGTACTTAACAACCTACACCATATTTACAACTGACATCCCTCTGGGTTAGATGTGAAATGGATGGAAGGATGCGATTTCTACAACTCCTGGCCTCCCCAAGTCTCTCGGGTGATCATTTACAGCAGCCCTCATGGGGATTCCAGCTCAACATCCTCCTCAGTGCACAAAAGGCAACAAAACACCTGTTATCATCCTATTCAGACCTCTTGTTGGCTCCCAATTCATCTCTGAATGAAAACTCCTGAGCCTGAGAGATTCCAAAACTGGTTGAGTGCACGCCTTGCATGATCCCTATACTATAAGGTCCCCTGTACACTGCTGGAAGCAACCACCAAGCACTGTTAGGGGTAAGTGCCCCCTGAGCACTCCCAAGACGTGGCCCAGAAACAAATGAAAAAACTCCAAACATTGCAGAGTCCAGCATGCAATGATTGGCCCACACAACACTGATAAGGACTGTCCAGTCCCCTGGCACTCCTTTCCCCTCTCCCCAAACCCCAGGAGAGGCCAGAACTCGGGTGGGCAGACACCCACTGAGCCTCTGAGTGGCAGAGGGAGGGACAAATCCCGGCTCTGGCCCAGCCTGCTTTGCCAGCCTCCTCTCCCACCACACCCCCCGCATACACCTACATGGAACTATTTGCAGCTCCCCAAACATGCCACGTCCTCCCAGGCTTCCTGCCTTTGCGTAAGCTACTTCCTCTGCCTGTGACAGAGGAATGCCCTTTTCCACCCTACTCCGGAGTTCCTTCTGCCTGGGAAACTCTAGCCCATCCTTCAAGACTAAAGCCTCCTCCTCAAAGCCTTCTGTCGCATCGCCAAGCAGCCCTCCTCTCTTGATTCCAAATGCCTACCAGGAGGGAGCAGTCTCTGCTGCATTGTAACTGACAGCTTTCCCGTCCCTCCTACCACTCCGAGCCATTAGGCAGATGGGTAGAAGGCCCTGTGCATATAGCAGGTTGTACTGGGCCAGAGTAAACACGTGCATTCTCATGCACAAACACGGGTACATAGCATGAGTACAGTTCTTCTCCCTGCACCTTGGGAACTCTTGTCACGGGGCAGAGAAACAGCTCATCTCCCATGATCCCAGAACTGTGCAGAACACAGGTGCTCTCTTCTGGCTTGACCGATTTCTCAATTCCATACGTGAGGACACTTCCTGCCCCCATCCCTGGCTGGCCAGGAGCAAGCTGGAGGTTATTCAGTAAGCAAACTATCTGCTAAGCAGCCCCACACTGAACTGGGAGGCAGATGAACCAGGCACCAACAGGAGGTGAAGTAGGCCCTGAGACAGGCTGGGGAGAGGCAATGGTGGTCTAGAAGCAGGGGATGGGTTCCCTTAATTCCTGGGAGACCCAAAAGCTCCCCTCCAATGTTATCAGGGGCCTAGAAAGTTAGATGTCCTATGGTTAGAAAGCTCATCTACTTGGATCAATCAGAGGTCTTTATTGTTTTTTGGGTAACCTGGAGTGTTCAGGAATCACTTTTAATGGGGACTGAGGGACCATATCCATGTCCATGGGAACTGATGCTGGGGATCGAACCCGGGTGGGCCGCATGCAAGGCAAATGCCCTACCTGCTATACTACCACTCCGGCCCCCAAAAGGTCTATATTTAGGCTCCACCCTAGGCTAGCCTAGCCTCCGAGTTGCATCTCTCTCATCTCTCTGTTCTTTCTCTACCCATTATCAGTCATTTCTCTTGTCATCTATGCTTGGCCAGATGAGCAACAGGAAGGAACTGCATAAGGAGACAGAATCTGCCACCACTCTGGGTTATGGCAGTCCAGCCAGGATTGGCCCACAAAGCAGGAGCATGAGGAGACACCAGTGAAGTTCCTGTGGACAGGGAGGCATTCTGAACCACCACACTATGAGGAGAAACAGAAGCTTCCCTGTATGAGTTGGTCACAATGCTTCTTCTGGAGGCCTCATAGCTCCTTGCTGACCCTGCTGCAGGAGGCCACATAAGAGCCACATAGTGAGTTCCTTTACTTCCCAGTCACCGGGAGGTGCATATACAGGGCAGTGTACACAGCTGGAACACAGCACAGACCCACACTAAAGGCAAGGCTGAATCAGGGGGAGAGAGTCAGCAGGATGCCAACCTCCAAAGGGGGCTCTAGCAAACTTCTGGGAGCTCCCAACTATTGCTTCAGGATCTCCTCTTTTTACTTCTAATCATAATCTTGACAGTATCTGGCCGAACACTCACTGCTTGCCCTAGTCATTGCACTGTCCATATCAGTTCGTGAAATCCAAACAGCACTGTGTTAGTAACTTGCTCCTGAGAGCAAAACTAGTCAGTAAAGGTCACACAGCATGGCACTGTTGGAGTCAGGATTTGAACTCAGGATGATTTGACTGACTTCACTCAGGAAGCTGAGAAATGAACCCTGGCTAGGAAAGGGCTGCACAATGGTTTCTTGAACACTATCTCCTCACACGGCTCAGGTCACCTGCAGGAGGCTAGGCCAGAGGCAGACAGGGTTACCACAGCACAAAGCCCTCAGGAGCGTGGGCAGATGCCAAATGTGTCAAGGACTGATGAAAGGCCAGATTTTATTCTATTAGTTAGCTTTCCCTTAAACAAAAACCCTGAAGTTAAAGATTCTTGGAGCCTGGCTCTCAGTCATGGGCTGGTAAGCAGTAAAGCCTTATGCTGGAATGCACCTGGCAGAAAATCACCAAAGGCTGGCAGGGAGGGATGATTTGCGCCCTGAGGGAACATCCCAGCCCACATTTTCAGTGCCCATGCTGGAGGTGCAAATCCTAGAACATTTTATTCCCTCACCCCTTTCCAGATGCCATTTGTATGATGCTGGAATTTCTAGGAAAGACAGCAGAACCCCAGCCCAGTACATACTGAAGGGGAAATGAGGCCTAAACTCTTTCCTGCAGATTGAGGGCTCTCAAGGGACAAGGAGAGAAAAGAAGCTCTAATGGCAGTCTATCTCATAAAAGGTAGAACTCAAGTGTCCCCAACCCCCTCACTCTATCTGCTGGTTGATGCCATGACTGATGCAAGCATCTTGGCCTCAGCCAGGTAAACTGAACTGGCTGCTATGACCCACCAGCTTCAGCCAAGCTCCTCACAGGGGCAGGCTGGCAGGCTATTTAAGCCCTAAGCACAAGAAGAGGTAGCAGAGGCAGCGCAGGGTGGAACAGGACCTAGAGAGCAAGTCTGGCAGAGATGACAGACCCAAGGGCACAGTGACAGAATGTAACCACTAGAGTTTACAAAGGAAACTTCAATGGCAGTCTATCTCATAAAAGGCAGAAGTCAAGTGCCCTCAACTCTCTCACTCTATCTGTCAACCTATGATACGACTGGTGCAAGCCACTTGCACCTGTGGTAGGCCACTCTTCACAGGCCACTGTGCATGTGTGCATGCATACAGATGCTTGCATGTGTATGTACACTTGTATATGCACACAGGGAGATATCTGACAGACTCTGGAACTTACCTTCCACAGGACTTAGGAGAAGAAATGGTCTGCACTCTATGAATGCGGGGCCCTGTCTATAAACCACTGCCAGAATCTGTCTACTTCCTGTCACATGCCCCCCTTTTCCTCCCCAATTCCACCAAGGCCTTCCGGGACAGAAAATGAAATCCTTTCTTCTGCCCCAGAGGAACCACTTCCCCAGATCTTGTAGTTCCGTCCCACACAGGGCCCTAGGCTGATGCATGTACTTATATACATTCATATACATGTATATACATGTGTATCACCAGAACGTATGTGCTTGAGCAGCACCCGAGTTCATGGCAATCACTCCAATCCTACTGTTTTGGTGCTTTCTCTGTGTCGCTTCCTGGACCTACTATAAGAATACATGAGTTCTCACCAGGCCTTTCTCAGCTGAGGTCAGGAGCTGAAGCCTGCTGTAGGACCTTATACTGCTTAAACTGGGGGAGGCAGCTTAGGAACAGAAATCTTGGGTTATTTTCAGTGCCTGTGGAGGTGTGAATCCTAGGACATTTTATTCACACAACATCCTCTGAGTTAGCCATAGGCAAGCAAAGGGTCTAGGCCTGGGTTTAACCCCTAGCATAACCCCCAGCACAACTAATCAGTATGTATGTTTGTTCTTGCCCTTTTCTTTTCTTTTTTTTATTTATTTATTGAATCACTGTGGGAAAGGTTACAAAGCTTTCAGGTTTATGTCTCAGTCATGCAAATATCAAACACATTTCCCTTTACCAATACTTATTTTTTACCATGAAGAACTCCAATAAAACCCCACCCCCCACCCCTCCCCGTCCCTGTGAGGCAGATGAATTCTAGTTAACACTCTATTTGCTTTGATTAGATTCATTGTTTCAATAAAAGATTCACCACTATTATTTAGAGTTTACCCCCCCCCCCAAATCAGACATGCTGAAAAAGCATTGTGAAGTGATTTGCTTTCTACAGCTGGGTTCAAGAATTAAATGTTGGTTTTGGATTTCTGCTATTTTACCTATTGACCCTGGAAGTATTTCTACTGAAAGTCAGATAGTTAAGAAATTGGTTTCTGTGTTCTGGAGTCGTGGCCGTGCTGGAGATGTTCTTGCCCTTTTCTTTCGTGGTGTTGGAAGACATCTGTTGAGGGTCAGGTACTGGGGTGAATACCTTATTTAAGTCACTAACTTAACCCTTGGCAGAATCTCCTGCCCCTGCACCAGGCTGTCTTCACTGGGGCCCCCTCGGAGGGGGGGTGGGTTGAGTTTCCCTCCCTGCCCCAAGCAGAGCCCTGGCAGCTGAAAACCTCCAGAATCCAGCCACAGTCATGCTCAAGGCCACCTTCCACACACTCGGATGAGCCTCACCCATGAAGGAACTGTCAGAGGAACCCAGATATGCAGGACCCGTGGCTGAGATCTCCAAGCCTTCTCGGATTGGGACCAGACCTCCTCCACCTAGATCCCCAGTTTTCTAGTAGCTTGGCAGTCACACTCACAAACTGCCCCTGGTGCTATGTAATCTCATCAACGGCCAAGATCCAGAGACTATAAACTAAAGCTCCCATACAACAAGTCAGTCAACCAAAACCTTACATTTGGTAGACTGGGAATACCTGTAAAACTCCATCCCTTTCAAAGAGCCCGGCAAGCTACCGAGAGTATCCTACCCGCACGGCAGAGCCTGTCAAGCTACCCGTGGTGTATTCGATATGCCAAAAATAGTAACAATAACGGGTCTCATTCCCCTGAACCTGGGACGAATGGAGACATTACTGATGCCTGCTCGAGCAAGTTGATGAACAACGGGATGACAGTGTTACAGTGCTAACTTAACCCTTGCCTGCCGACATATGAAACATTATTTTTCTTCTTTTTTCATTGCTTGGGCTGGAGCGATAGCACAGCGGTAGTGCGTTCGCCTTACAATCGGCCAACATGGCCGACACGAGTTCGATTTCTCCGCCCCTCTCGGAGAGCCCGGCAAGCTACCGAGAGTATTCGATATGCCAGACACAGTAACAACAAAGTCTCCAATGGAGACGTTACTGGGCCCGCTCGAGCAAATCGACGATCAACGGGAGGGCCTTTACCTTTTACCTTTTTCATTGCTTAGGTTTTTGGGTCACAACCAGCAGTATACAGGAGTTGTGCTGGTGGTGCTTAGGAGTTCCTGTGGTGCCAGGCCTCCAGTGTGCAGAGCATGTACTCCAGCCCACTGAGCTATCTCTCTGGCCCCTGAAAGATATTTTATCACTATTCAGCAGACAAAGAAACGGAGGCTCGGAGAGGTAATGTGTTATGCCCAAGGTCACACAGTAGGACAGTGATGAGACACAATCAGAATTCAGGCCTGCTGCCCTTGAGGCTGTACTTTTAGGCCATGATCCCATAGACTGGCACCCTTGTCAGGCCAGACCAAATCAACCCAACATGCCCTATAGTAGGTTGCCTAGAGACAGTAATGAACCATGAGGCAATGGTGAGAGTGCCTCATGCCACAGTGGGGATTTTTTTGGTGGGAGGGGATTTCAGGGGTACACCTAGTGGTGCTTAGGGTTTATCTCTGGATGTGCTCAGGAGTGACCTTCGGCTGTGCTGGAAAGACCAAATTAGTGCTGCCACAGCATCAGAGTTCTCTCTCACTTTTCTCTGGATCAGTCTCCGGCACTGACCCCAAGGTACCCTGCTGTCTTGGCCCTTTCCCATTCTGAAATTGGCACCTCCAACCCCAAAGGCAATGTGCTACTTCTGGAACAGCAAACATGCTAATGAGAGCAGAGGCAAGTTCTTTCTTCTCTCCCACTGAGACCTTGCAGAGGGCTCCAGTGGGGCTAGATGTGGAAGGCGGGGAAGACACCAGGAAAGAGTTCATGTATGAAGGGAAGAAACTAACAAAATAGGCCCCACAGGGGTACAAGTCAAGTGTCTTACTTAGAAGCTTCCCACAGCCCACTAGGGTCTCAGTGCTCTTGACCCCACTCCTAGCAATTTCTAAGTCACATGACATCAAAATCTGTCTACTCATCCCTTACCTAGGTCATGTCAGTGATCATCTAGCCCCAGTCCAAACTTCTCAATGATCTCTGTGCCTCATCTCCTTTCCGCCCCACCTGCCACCCTGCCAGCACACTGAATCGCAGATGGCACACTGTGTGGCATCACTCCTCCCAACCTGCAGTGCCTCCCATCACCTGGTCCAGCAAACCCTTCTCTATGCCCACCCACATGTGCACTAGCCCATTAGCCCTACTTTCTGTCTCCCCGGGACTCCTGGTCTCTACTCTTGCTTTTTAGGCCCAAACCAGCAGAGCAAAACTCTACTCATGGGAGAAGGTCCAGCTGTAATGTAGCTCCTCTTTGAGACTTCCCTACAGATAGGAGGCGCCCCCTCTGAACCCATAGCTCAAGCTGTGTGAGTATAAAGTATGGCCCCTTATTTGAGAATCCTTTGTGGAGGGCTGGATGACTTGCCATCGAACACAACATTCCCCGAACACAGACCAGATTCATTCGTTTCGGGAGAGCAGGGTCAAGCATAAGCTAGCACAGGCAGGGAGGTCCCTTTCAGGTCTGGCCAGCAACTAGTGGGCAGTCTGTAGAACTTGTCTGTTTAAGTTCTCCAGGAAGTAAACCAGTGCTGGAGATCCCAAAACACATAAGGCTCAGCGCACAGGCTGAAGAAGCTCTGACAGAGCTTCCGGTTCATGCAGCTGTGGGCAGCACCACCTTGTGGTATGGTAGGAAGCTACATTGGTAAGTCTTGACTCACTGCAGGCTATGAGTACAGCCAGACGCCTACAGAGTGCCAGTGATGCTGGATTAGTCTCTGATTCTGGCATCTTGGACATTCTGAGCAGCTCACCTGGCTTTACTTGACTTCAGGCCCTTTCCCAAGTAGAGAACTGAACATCCAAAGAAACATCCGATCTCCAAAATGGCTAGGGAGGGAGGACTCCTACCCCCCCCCCCCCCTCACGTGGAGGAGCAGCAGCCCTAGTAGCCCTAGCAGAAGAACTGAGAGCGGGAAGGTACAGCAACAAAATAACAACCTCAAAGGGACAGCAGGATCTGAAGAACTGACCTTAGAGTACTGGCCTCAAATGGATATGGAAGAGGGATGGCCAGCAAGGGGAGGGGGTGGAGGACCAAAGCCCAGACAGGCTAGGCACTCACAGGGGCAAGGTTCCAATACTCAGAAATTCACGAACGGGTTGAAGAAATAGTACAGTGGGTAGTGCACTTGCCCTACATATGGCCCACTTGGGTTTGATCCCCAGCACCCCACAGGAGTGATTCCTGAGCACAGAGCCAGTAGTAAGACCTGAGCACAGCCAGGTATGACTCTAAAATCAAAACGCACACATATACAAACTCACAGAAATCCACAGAGATAGAGGAAAAAGACCCAGGTCTGTAAATAGAAAGCCAGTATTAAATGCTTGGACCGAAAAGAAGGGGGTCTGAAAGGCTCGTTCAAAGATTTTCCCACCCCTTCCCCAGACACTAAAATACCCCTACCCCAATAAGCCCTGCCCTTGACACACACAGGCCAGAATCCTAGCCAAGGCATGGATGGCAGCTTACCGTGTGGGGGTTGTCGTAGTAAATAGCGATGGAGCGGAGCTTGGGAGAGACACTGCAGCTCTCGGTGAAAAGTCGTCCTGTCTCGCCATAGGGCCCCTTGTGGAACTTGTAGGCCACAGTAACATTGCAGATGGGGGGTGAGCCAGCACTTACTCTTACCCCCGTCAGCAGCCCCGAGTACCCCACAAAGGCCAGCAGCGTCAGTAACAGCAGAAGAGTCAGGCCCCCAATCAGGCCCAGGAGTAGCAGGTCAGACATGGTTCTGTGCTCCCCACGCCGCACCCTGAGGCTGCTGCAAAGGAGACAGAAGGGAGAGAAGGCTGGGAGCCTGCTCTGACCAATATGCCCACCTGCCCGCCAGCTAGGTCTGGCCCAACCTCTTGGCCTTGCCTGGGGAGCTCTGGCCCAGGAGGAGGAGGGGCCAGGAGTGTTTACACACAGTGACCTAGAAGGGAGCTACAAAGGATGACTGAAGCCACAAGCCTCTTTATTTCTTAATCACAATCGTTGAAGCTCTCAGAGCTGCTCTGCCTGTCAGCCAGAAATCTTGGTTACACCTGGGGAAACTGAGTCATAGGAGGTCACAGGTATGAGTCACAACCAAGGACATACTCACACCCCTGACCAGACTCCCCAGAGATGGGTCATTCTGCCTTTTCCCCACATTGCCTCCTTCTTCCCAAGGCTGAGCCATGGTGCCAGTCCAGCCTCCCCAAGCCTCTGTGGCTCACTGCCAGCAAGAGGAGGGGCAAACAGCAGGGTCCAAATACTTATTAACAAACAGGGAAACCAGGAGAAACCAAACCCCAGGGGGAAGTTGTGCTGCAGGAAGAAACTTCATAGCAAACTCTCCTTTACTAATCACACCTGGTCCTCTAAATCTTACCACCCAGATCCAGAGGACCCCAGAGCGAGTTTAGCACTGTCCTCCCCAGACCTGAGTACCAGTGCTAAAAGTTTCACCCCACTCTGCCAGTTAATAGAAACAGCAAGGAGATGGAGGAGGAGTAAAGGCAGTGTAGATGTGAAGACAAAATAGGAGTAACAGGTAACTCGGCCTTGGCTAGAGCATTTCATTCTGTGGGGGAGAGGTGCTGGCCTATGGAAGGAACCAAGTCTCGGATCCACTGACTACCCTGTTCCTCCTCCCACCCTCACTCCACCCCCTCTGTGGTGTTTATTAGTGAATCTCTGTGGTTTTGATCTCCCCACACACCTCAGGTGCTAGTTCAAAGATAATCCCGGAGGAACGTATTTTTTTTTCCCCCTTTTGTGTGTATATGCAGTTTATCTGACAATTCTTTCTCTTCCCCACTAGCCTTTCCCCATGCCTGGTATATTTGCATGGTCTAAGCAATAAAGACAATTGTTTTAGGAAAAAAAAATCAGAAAAAGTTGAGAAGTAATCCAAGAGCAAGTTTAGGAACATAACAAATGTGGTATGTGAGCCTTTCTTTCCACAAAGATGAACAGAAGCTCCAAACCTTGCCATTTGGTTCTAGTTACCTAATTAAAAAAAAAATCAGTTTAAAGATGAAGGAAAGCAAGAAAGACCCACTGTAGGAAAATTTCCATCCGATGTATTTAGTGCTTCAGTTCCAAGAAAAATTTATCTCTGCTAAATAACTTGTTCCCTGCAGGTTCTAGTGTCAACACTTTTAGCTGAAAATTCTGTCTTTGGAGTTGATATGCAGTGTTTGACTCACAAAGAGGCAACCTAAACATCTAAAATTTGGGTGTCAATATTAAGGTGTTTTCCCATGGTGGTTTTTTTTTTTTTTTACCACTCATGTTCCTGTTGCGGTTTCACTGTTTTTGGACACATTCCCTGGCCTATTCATCTTGCCTCTGGGTAGTTTCACTCTTATTTTCTCTGGTAAGTTTTTCTCTGAGAACTGACTATGAGCTAAGTAAGCACTATCTAAATCAGTTTTCCAAAATGGGTGATACGGGGCCAGAATGACAATACAGTGGGTAGAGTGTTTGCTTTGCACATGGCCCATCCAGGTTCAATCTGCAGCACCCCATGTGTGCCAGGAGTAACCCTGAGCATTGCTGGGTGTGGCCCCCTCACCTCCAAAAGTAGAGGTTACCACCCCCACTACAAAGAAGGGAGAGGGATTGGAGGCTGGTAGTAACCTCTGATGCAACTGGGGGCACTGTTTGTGATTTTAAAGAAGGGTTTTTTTTTGGGGGGGGGGCTGAGTGACTTTTTTTTTTCTGAAAAGGGGCAGTAGGCCAAATAAGTTAGGGGGCGTCTGGTCTAAATGTTGAAACACGGTTACTTCATAATCCTCGAAACAAGGTAGGTCAGATCAGAAAACACGGGCTGGGGAGACAGTCCTGTGGGGAAGGTTGCATGCCTTGCATTTGCCTGGTTGGATCCCAGGCAGCCCACTGGTCCCCCAAGCGCTGCAAGGAGCAATTCCTGAACGCTGCTGGCCAGGAGTAACCCCTGAGCAACGCTGGGAGTGACCCCAAAACAAACAAACAAACAAAAAAAGCCCCTGGGCCATAACGCAGCTAACCTAGATAATCTGGGTCGGCACTACAACTTTCTTCTCCCTGGCAACGGGGGCTTCCAGAAGAGCCCAAGCATTTCTTCCACACGGGATCTCTCTGAACCGAGGCTCGCAGCAGAGAGCTCTCCGCCTCGGGGTGTCCCACCTGCCCTGGGGGGGCCCTCCCGTCTGGTCTGCACGCAACCAGTCCTCACCTTTCTTTTCACAACCGCTCCTCCGAAAAGGGGAGAAACGCGCCCCGGCGTCCCGGGGCTGTGGGCAACAGGGGCAGGAGGCGGGGAGACAGCGAGGAAAGAGCCGAGAAAGCTCACCTGAAAAGCCAGGCTCGCTTTTAGCAAGTCACGGCCTCCAGCGCCGCCGGGACCGAGTGCTCCAACGCTGAGGGGGCAGAGAGAAAATAACCACCGGGCCAGGCGGCGGGTCCCGACTGCCCCCTCCTCGGGGAATGCCCGTCGGCTCTCCAAGAACTCCTCCCTCCGCCAAGGCTGCACCCGACCGAGTCCTAGGGAACAACTCGGGCGCCACACGGGGGCCTCCCAATGTCAGCTCTCGCCCGGGGCTCCGCTCGGGCCCCTCCTCTCGGGGGAGCCATCCACCGCCTCCGGCCCCGAAACGGACCCTTTCGCTGACCTTGGGCAGGCAGCGGCCCCTCTCGGGCCGCGGGTGCTCCCTGGCTCGCAGGCCCGGGGGTGGTCGCCGCTGGCCGGGCGCCGGCGAGCGTCAGGGCGGGCGGCCCGCGCCGGCTTCCTGGAGCCGCTCACGTGCGCCGCGGCGGGCGGCGCGGGTCCTTAAAGGGCCCCGCCACAGGCAAAAACTTGGCAGCCGGCGCGGGGCGGGGGCGCCGCCTCCCACTCTCGGCTCCCGGCCGTTCCTCACAGCGCCTCGCCTATTCGCCCAGCCCCCTGCTTCTCAGGCACGACCTGACCGGGGCCCCCCACGCTCCTCAGCCAACTTAGAGGACGCTCAAGTTTGCAGCTACGGCGGCGGGGCGCGGCCTCGGGGACGGGGGCGGAGCCCGAGTGCGGCTCCATTCTCCGCGTCCCCCCTCCCGCCCGCCCGCCCGCCCGCCCCACGGGCCCGGGGCGTGCCCCGCGTCCGCGGCACGGGCCGGGGGGCGGCCCCGGGTGGGAGGGCCGCTCCAAGGTCGCCTTCGCGGGCGCGAAGCCAGGCCGTGGCCAGTGGTGGGCAAGACGAGACGCCAAGAGCGGCCCAGACCGGGGGCAGGGCTGGTCACGAAGGGGACGCGGGGGTCCCTGAGGTTGCGCCCGGGAGGACCGAAGTCCTGGGCCAACGGAGCGCGCGGGGCCGCCCGGCGGGGACCGCCTCTCCTCCAGCCGGGCGCTCACCTCAGCGGCCGCCCGCCGCGGACGCCGATCCGCGCAGGCGGCTCCCGGGTCGGTCGCGGAGCCTGCGCGCGCCCGCTGCGCACGCTCGCTCCGCCCCCTCTCGCGGGGGGACGTGGCCGTGGTCGTGGGCGCGTGCGCGCGGGACCCAGAGGGCGGAGGCCAGCCCCGCCCGGTCTCCATGGCCACGAGTGCGCGTCGGTGCTGCGCCCAGCCACCCATCACCGCCACCGCCACGGGAGCGAGCTGTCAAGGGCGGAGCCCTCTTGCCGCTTTCCGGCCTCCCACAAACTACGAGGCTGCAGGGGGTAACTTGGCAACCTCTTGGCATCAGGGTTGGGGAAGAGCACAACTGCCTGCCCGGGAGTGGGGGCGTGAGGGTGGGGAATGTCAGGTGGTCCACAGGTGAGAGCAAGGCTGGGGCAGGCCCAGGAAGCCAGAACCAAAGAGGACCGTTGGAAGAGTGTTGTTGGGAGTGTTGTTGCCAACAGTAAGCCTCTGGCATTTTTTCCAACCTTGGTCCAGCTACTTCCTACGGGGACTTCTCAAAAGGCTTGGAAAGAGAGCAAAGCAGAGCCACTTGCTCCCGGCAGTCTAGGCTTATGATTTGAACTTTGGATAGTACAATAAAGGCTTCCTTGCCTCCAATGCTCCATCCTGCTACCTGCCCCATCAATCAGTATAGGGGTGATTATTAATTCTCCTAACATTATTGAGTACTACTTGCAGTCAAGTCAGATGTAGGATCTGGGAAATCTGAGTGAACAAAGCCAGGGCCCCACCCTCCTGGAGCTCATTAGGGCTACATCCTCTTCCCAGGGTCCAAGATCAGAAGTCTTGTATGTGGCTGGGAACCGTTGGCTTGTCTGCACCTACAACTTAAGAGTGTAGGTAACTGCAGGTCAAATAAAAAAAAAATCTTCAAGGCAAATTCAATCATTAGCTTTTCCTTTACCCTTTGGTAGTGCTGGGCATTGAGTCCAGGGCTTCACAGATGCAGGACAAGTGCTACACTGCTGACCTACATGCCCAGTTTCAATCATCAGCTTTTATCCTGACAACCTTCAAACTAGAAAGAACCCCTTTAGGTCTCCAAAGATAAAGTCTACTTTCCAGACATTCTCTGTCTTGCAGTGGAGGACCTGGAGGAACAACTATGTGCACAAGTGGGGCTATAAGACAGGTGTACAAAGAGCTTTCAGGGAGAAATGGAAATCATCTTATGGATTCCACTTCTGTACTAACCAAGAGCAGGCTGGAGAGAGAGGCATTCAAAATCTTGGCATCCCTTCCCTGTTTCATATTGTTCCTTCTACAGAAGATTCAACCTCTTCTAGAGTTAAGGGTATGCTTCCCCTCTGAAGACTGGCAGGATGGGCAGCTGACCATGCACAGGCACTAAGGACTGGGCTGGCAGGGTTGTAGCA